AAATAGATACAGGCTGATAGCGGATTCCAATACAGTGGATCCAATTAAATCATAAGTACTTCATTTGCATATTTCTTATAACTGACTAAGTGTGCATTAATATTCCGATGAATTTGACAAATTATTAAATAGACCGAACTGAGATTAAAACGGATTATCAATAAAATTAAGACTGTGCATATTATGTATATGTGGAAGCAATAAATAGGAACATTTATTGCTTCCACATATATATTCCATTATACCCGACATCGTGTTATTAAATGTAACTGTTTATAAACCAACAAAAAACAAAGCATATTTTGTATCAGTAAAACCTTAATTCTTCGTATAAAACGAATATTGGCAAATCATTTTCTGCTTACATAAATATATACTAAAATTTATAATCAAACCAAAAACTGACCATATAGTTTGGCATTGCCTTTTGCTGGTGTAATTTTAATTTTTAGGCAATTTATTATCTCTGCTTTCTTCTAGACAGCGCCATCATTGAGTTCACATCTACATGTATGTGCGGGACACATGTCTGATTTCGTTACAACAAATAATATTTTTTCTTAAAAAAATAATACATTTTGTGTATCCTTATATATTTGTTCGAATTCTGGACGAAAAACTTGCTCATGTTAAATATATTTGGTAAGAGCTTTGTGTCGTGCTATAACTAAGTTTCCAGCTCTTTTAGCGACGTCCAATCGATCTATCTACCTTCCTACCTTTAATGTTGTTATGCGTCGCTAGCAAAACAACATTATAGGAAAGGAAATGCAATTAGTGAGCTACGTCGAAGCAAATAGCAATTTAGCTCAATATTTTGTACGAATTTCTAGGAAATACACTATGTCGATAATAACGACGACAAGATGGTGAATGATAACACGGCCGTAACGATGAACTTCGATTGCGACTTGTTTCACGTGATATTGGGGGGTGAAGACAGTTTGTCGATTTGCAATGGTTCCGTATACAGAAATAATAATCAATCTTGATTTATTTCTGTGGTTCCGTAGCTTGGTGTCGAAATCGGAACCTTATAAGTTCGTACTGTTCATATGTCCTTGTGTTGTAACAGTTTTGCTCGGAGACTATTAGTTTTAGTACTATGTAAATACAATTTGAAAGATATGATATTGTACAAAGTGGCAATGAGCCGGTCACATCTGTCGAGCCAGCGACGCCAGGTGGGGGAGGAAAGTACTCGAATGGAGGCCACGGATGGGTACCAGGAGCGTGGGGCGTCCTCCAACCAGGTGGACCGACGACTTAGTGCGCACGGCGGGAGGTCGTTGGATGCGGAAGGCGGAGGGTCGCATTCTGTGGAAGACATTGGGGAAGGCCTATGTCCAGCAGTGGACAGATAAAGGCTGATGATGATGGTATTGTATAATGGCTTTAAAGAATTGCAAAAAACAAAATGTATACGATGTAATTTAGGCACTGAAATAAAATCATGAGTTTAAATAAGAGAGTGATCTTTTTAAAAGTATGTATTATTTAAACATGCAAAATTAGTGAATGAGTCTGTTTGTTTGTTTAGGTCAAATCTTGTGAGCTAAATTAGAACCATTTCCTCTTATCCTACGGAGTTGAATTTTTACATGCTGGTCCAGTTTCGATGACAGTGCATTTTTATGATTAATGTGACCTCAATCGACCCTCAGGACTAGCTCCTAATAAAGGCACTCTTCAAGGGACAGCAGCCCAAATATGAAATTTGAGAATGTAATTTATTATGATAGTGGTAATAGGTTTAAGTTTTGCCATAATATGGTTGTATTCACGTTTCGATCTGCACTAAGAAACCCCTCAATAATTTGTAGCATATAATGAAGTGTTGTATATAAATTCAACTATGATAGCCTATTCTAATGTTCACTAAGACACAGTCGGAACCTTAAGATTTGATATTTTTTTTAGGAGGGACGGATTTCTTATCTTTCGGGGGCCTTTTCAGCTTCACCAGGACAGGTGGGCGAGTATAGGGTGAGCCAGGAGGGGTGAGATTTGCTAACAGCTTCCGGAGCGCCTCCGAAGGAGACCTAGCAGCTCAAGGACAACTGCTTCGCGACTGCATAAGATTGGATTCCGAGTGACGAAGGAAGCGTTTAACAATCAACACGGCCACAATATATAGTATTTTCAATCAATAGCCTTGATTAAGTTCATATATGATTTGTGTAATTTACATAACTAACTGTCGTCATTAAAATTAGTGTTAATGTGTTTGGAACTAAGGAAATAGTCTAAAATCAAGCCAAATCCTGTTTTGAATAAGTTTTAAGTAGAAATTCGCTACACATACCTCCTATTACCCAAGGTGAGACCGTGGCGAGGACTGAATGCCATCAAAGTATATCAAACAAGTTGTGGTAAACGCAACCACCTCAGAGTACTGAAGCGAATACTTCTTTATAATTAACTCTTACGATTCTAAATGAATTTTGAGGATAGCAAAGACTTCGTCTCTATTCTGTGCTCTAGATTGTTTTAAATTAACGGGCAAACGATCATGCAACAGTGACGCATAACAATCGCAATATGTCGAATCGTATGTGTTGGAATTTCGATCCACTCGAACACTAGTACTCTACAGTAATCATAAACGAAAATAATAATGACGAGCTCACAGCCCACCTGGTTTTAAGTGGTTACTGGATCCCATAGACATCCACAACGTAAATGCGCCACCCACCTTGAGATATAAGTTTTAAGGTCTCAAGTATAGTTACAACGGCTGCACCACCCTTCAAACCGAAACGAAATACTGCTTCACGGCAGAAATAGGTAGGGTGGTGGTACCCACCCGCGCGGACTCACAACTGATTAATTTACCACCAGTAAATTAATCAGTTCCATTATAAATAATAACATAAAAGTATCTGAACGTCTTCATTCATGTTGAGATCTAGAAGATTCTGGTCTCCAATGACACTAGAAAAGCCGTGTGAGCTCCTTTCCCGTCTCACTTAATGTATACAACAATACAATATACTACATATTAAATTTAATACAACAAAATAACGTCAAGAACAAAAGATTGAGCTTCAAATTTTAAATGGCTCTTAGTTGTTATATTACTGGACTAATCATAAAGGCCTTGGACACATGTTCACTTATGAATAACGATGGTTATTAACATTAATTAACCGTGCACGAAATGTTTAAGTCTGGATGCATGTTATGTGATTCGAACCTAACATAGAACAACTAATGCATTTGGTGAACGAACGATTAAAGTTTTCACTGTATTTATTTATGAACTTTACAAAAAAACATAGAGTAATAACCCGTAATATAGTACAGCAAGGAGGCATAATAATATAACATCCTATTGCCGTTAGGATGTACAAGTAGGTGTTACTTTGCTTCCTGTTTTTTTTTTCTGGTTTAAAAATTGGGACAGCAGTTATTCTTATAAACCCATGTCTCAAGTTCATTATGTTTCGTATGTGTGTGTGTTTTTTTTCTACCAATAGTTGGTAGCCTAAGGGGCTATTCCAATTTGGCGCGGACCGGTAGGTGAGCTCACGGGCTTAACCTGAGAGCATTGCTAATACTAGCCCTAGCAAGAGCAGGGCTTCGCTGACTCTACTACCGGATCGGAATCGCGACCCACTGAGAAGATCCGGCGAGAAACTCAGTGGGTTCGTGTGTATGGGCTCTAAGTCCACCAGCCCAAATGCTAATAGAAGACTCAGTTTAAAATTGCGAATCATTCATACGCCTATTCCATTACTCACTCATACAGTATGTAAACACGAATTTCCAAGTTCAACCCTTGCTTCGAACACCCCATTAACCACGAAACTCATCAATAATAAATTGAGACTGATGTCCGGTAACTAATGAAATTGACTTTACATGTAGATAGTTTACAGGTGCACAGAATATTAAACTTTAATTGATGATACATACGTAATTTAGTTTGTCAAGCCAATTGTATCTACCATTTACATACATATATCGTTGATGATGTCGGAGTAAAATTGCCACGGCATGCGGATAGGATAAAAAAAAAAAAATATTTGTTCACTCCTTTTGAAATCGTTTTGTGACGGATTTGAGAAATCTCGAATTTTGAGCATATAATATTTAAATACTTAACTCCGTGCGCGTTTCGTTTCTCAGTAACTTTGAAGTCGTCATCGTCGTCACCTAATGGGTTCCATTAGTTAATAGCAGATAAATAAAAACAATGTATCTACGGTAGATAAAAACTTACTCCTCGTGATATTAGATGTGGGAATTTTGTCATTTTGCAATTGACTTTCGGGTGTTTAAACGTGTTTTCGATTACAACTATGATTTGAAATCTACATAACTGTAAAGAGTTGTAAATCCATTTGAACAGCAAGCCTTCGATTCTTAGTGTCACTGTGATTATGATAAATGTATTGAATTTACACATATTAATTGTTTCTTTCAATATTTATTTATTGGTGTTATTGTTAACAGAATACAATGTCAAATTCGAATACAAAATTTAATAACACTAATAATTCCGGTATAGTTGATTCATTATTATTATTCTAAAACATTAAGCATTGTTGTTGTAGATATATAATCGTATATCGTCTAATAACTATGTATAATAAATGTAATTAAAGAAATCGATCATTCTAGAGACACATTAGAGCTTTTAAAAATATCCTTGTTGGTACTAAAAAATATAACAGTGGATGGGTAATTGGATACAGTAGGGTGCAAGTAGGTATCATCACTACAACGTGATTCAAAATAGAAATAAAAAATCGGCGTTTAATGTTATGGGTATATAAATATGTTTTTTTTTCCTAGATTTTGAACGTTTCTAAAGATATTATTTTCCTAAAATTAGATACGTACATTAAGTACCCATTAGTGTTTCATTAACGTATTTTGTTGTTTGTTTGACGATATCGCGCATATTAATGATTATTATTATTATTATTGTTACCCACTATAGACTGAACAGGCTCTCACTCTTAATAAGCTTATAATAATTAAATTTTACTTACAGCTGCTGGATACATGACATTCATTCAGGACACATTGGTAAATTATCCACGATTCCAGTTCAATCATAGTGGACGCGGTCATTTTACACTAAATATTAATTAAAAACCAACAGAGCTCTTAAATTAGGTGTCTTGGATAATTACAGAAAATACTTGAGCTTTTTCACGCTCTATTTCGTAAAACCATGAGATTTTCATTCAATTTTTATACAACACACACGCAACTGTCCGTACATGCGAGTCTCTGTTGATAAATAACACCCACACAGAAGGCTGTCACGAATTGAATGATTTGATTGGGTCTGGCCGCTGAGCGGCTGAGCGGTACCGGTGCGCCCTCACAAGCGGGAATCCGGATATGCGTCCCAATGTTGCAAGCTTCTATTTAAATTTTACCAAACTAAAATTTAAATTAAATTACAAGGAGGATTTTTACTTTTTCATATAGAAGTTCAATTCTGATAAATAATTTAATGTGGCATTCTTATTTTTGACTGCTGCCATTACATAGTGAAGCTGAGTGAAGCATAGTGTGTAATAAAAGTGAAACCCGCAAAATTATAATTTGCGTAATTACTAGTGGTAGGACCTCTTGTGAGTCCGCGCGGGTAGGTACCACCGCCCTGCCTATTTCTGCCGTGAAGCAGTAATGCGTTTCGGTTTGAAGGGTGGGGCAGCCGTTGTAACTATACTGAGATCTTAGAACTGATATCTCAAGGTGGGTGGCGCATTTACGGTGTAGATGTCCATGGGCTCCAGTAACCACTTAACACTAGGTGGGCTGTGAGCTCGTCCACTCATCTGAGCAATAAAAAAAAAGTGATTCTGAACATTAATTAACTCTAAAAATAACTTGTGTCAACCTTGTTTTTTTTTTTTTTATTGCCCTTGTAGGCAGACGAGCATACGGCCCACCTGATGGTGAGTGGTTACCGTCGCTCATGGACTTCAGCAATGCCAGGGGCAGAGCCAAGCCGCTGCCTCCGCTTAATACTCTCCATAAGCCTCGTTTGAAGAAAGTAGGTGAACAATTTTAACAACTAAAAATGCTAATTAACGTCGTGATCAAATTCTAGCTTTCGTTTTTTGTTTCTTAAAATCCCGTAAGTTTGCTGGTGTTTTTTAATTCTTGAAACATTTATATAGACAAAGTGAAGTGGTATAGAGTTTTTAATACAAGTATCGAATAAAAAATAATTTCTCATCTCAGGTGGCACCATTGATGTTATGTCTATGGGATACAAACCTCGTCGTGAGCCGAGGCCGAGAGCTTGTATGTCAACAATCCCCAAGTGAAATTATATGTTCAATATTTTAATACTTGAGAGTAATATAAATTGTGTCAATTTTCATCAAGTTCCTAAGCGATTATCTCGTCAAACTCGTACTCTCTAACTTAAATTTGTAGAAGCAGAACGGATGAATGCACTACTAAATATACTTTGATCAAACTTTCTACACAAAGTCAGCCTAAAGTAATCAAAATTTCCTTCAGGATCGCCTGTTAATCGAGTACCGACTGAACTTCGACAAGTTTTGAACTTAGCGATAGATAACAGTTGGCTGTGCTCTTTAGATTACAAAAGTCTAGGAAAAATTTACCAAACATGGGTACTTAAATAAATTACTTAAATTTTCTTTCAAGTGTATAAAATTCATTTAACTGTATTATTGTACGTTTAAACTGAGGTTCGATAGTTCACAACTATAAATTCATAACTCGAATCGATACCACCACCTAACCATAGATGAATAAAATGGTGCAGAGCTTCACTATCTTTACACACTTCAGAGCGTAGTAGTTGTCAAAGTTTGTTTTGTCTACAGTTTTAGTACACAAAGTACTTCAGTTATTAGTGGACAGTGAATTATTTGTAAATATTGTTCAATCTAAATAACTCTGAACACTGTGTTAAAATTTTGAATGTTAAGTTTTTAAGGCTTTTTTGTGTTTGTTGTATCAAGTTATTCAAGAAAGCGACTATAGTTACTGAAAAGGTAATCTCTACTGTTTACGCTTGTACGCTTTTTAAAAACACCTGTCATGAAAATCAACATTAAACATATTATTCTCTCTGCCTAAATCAGTTAAGAATAAAAGATAGATGCTCTTAGCTTGTTATTTCGGTGCCGCGTGGTTTTTTTAATTTCGAAATATTTCGTGTTTTGATTTTATTCTGAAACTAGTAGTACTGCGCTATTTCGCCTAACCTTGAGTATAACGATGGAATGTCATCTTTTGATTTGGTATTACGTCCTTGCCTGCATACAAAGATAGAATTGTTCAGTATTTTAATTATTGATTATAATATAACTTTTTCGAAATCAAAACTACAAAATATGTATTAAGTATGACTGTAATTTATAATGCTTTTGAAATTTGATACACATGTGATGGTTTATATTTACACAGCAATTAACACTTAAAAGTTATAACACCTTCCTCACTTGTTGTTAGATATTGCTATATATCATTCCAATAGGCACATTAAGTATATAAATTTTTTATTAGTTTGAGGCTTAAATCTTACTATCTTTCTAATACTACATTTATACCTATGGTATAGCCAAACTTATAGTATTTTCTCTGTAAGGAAGATAATTCACAATAAATACATTGTGTTTTAATGCTATATAATTATTTTAGTATAGTTGTAGTCAATTTTATCTTTAAACGGAAATATATTTTAACAAATCTAATATGATAAGACACCGTAATCAGCCAATGATACCGTGAGTCATTTGTAAAAAAAACACAACAACCATTCAATATTGTGTGTGCACTGTATTATTGATCAAATTTATTTTAATTATATAATGAAAAGTTTCATCTTTGTCTTGAATTATGCCGAACTATAGCATGCTTTTTTTGTTTCAATTCTCAAAAGATATTAATCCTCTTATACTAAAAATAATTAATTTAAATTAAAGGTCAAAAAGTCAATAAATATTTTGACAAATAAAGCATTCAGTGATGTTTCCCAACTTTATTATTTCGTTTAGTTATTTGTATATTCATTGATAAGTCAAATATTGTAAGTAGAATTGCAGGCAACACCATCACCATTAAAAAAACCATTACAATAAATATTAGAAAAAATAATAATTTAAAATATCACTAAAACAATAATAATTTTTTTTTTTTTTTTTTTATTGCCCTTGTAGGCAGACGACCATATGGCCCACCTGATGATGAGTGGTTACCGTCGCCCATGGACTTCAGCAATGCCAGGGGCAGAGCCAAGCCGCTGCCTACCGCTAAAAATGTTCCTGAATACAATCTGTAACGTATGTAGTATGTTAATCTAAAACTTAATAAAGGGGCTCCTGCCCAGTATATACCTACAACTTATAATTCATTATAAAATTAAGATAAAAGCATGTTATAATTTGAATTATTAAATAATCTAGTGGGCAGGCTTTATCCCATCTATTATTTGAAATAAATGAATTTTTTTAAAATGTTGAAGCATCAGTTTAAGTATATAATATAAGATATGTCAATTTCTCCTTAAAAAAATCTGATGAATTGTGTACCTACTATTTTTTTGAATTAGCATCTTGTAGAACAATATGAAGGGACAATATCATGTGATAATTTAAGGTACAAAATTCTAAATGATTTGGTCAGTTACCGCTCTCCTGCTTATTACTATCATGAAGAAATCATAGCATTTCAGTTAGAAAGTTAGGATAGCCATGCTATTGAAAATTCATGAGACTGACTTTACATTGTTGTCACATTGTTGTAATCTTAATTACTTTAAACAACTTCTTAATAGCATGTGGGTCTTGTTCTAGTCCGCATAAGCATACCAACCCTACTTACTACCAAATATTATTAATACAAAAGTTGTGGGTCTTGATCTAGTCCGTATGAGCATACCAACCCTACTTACTACCAAATATTATAAATACAAAAGTTTTGGGTCTTGATCTAGTCCGCATGAGCATACTACCAAATATTATAAATACAAAAGTTGAGGATAGATCGAAATTTATTACTCTTTCACACCAAGAATATGCAAGAATGGATTTTGATGAAAGTTCACAATATCATACTTTATACATTAGGATATCACATAGACTATAACACAACATATCATAGATTGCTCATGAATAGATCCAACAAATTGATGTTTTTCACATAATAATTGGTTGCAGAGATTAAGGTAAAGTCTACTACCTATTTATTACTCCAATAATATTAATATAATACTCATACAGAAATTAATCAAAATTAAAGCAACATATGTTTTCATAAATTATATGGTTCCAATATTATGAACAGACACGGGAAGTTCAATGAAGCATTGCATTTTACAACTTTCTCTTTTTAATGTCAACGACTACTGCATGGTGTGAATAGAATATCATCGACAGACTTAATGGCACTTTCTGTTGTACATATATAAAGTTTTATGTTAATTGATCATTTCTTGAAGTGCAGGTTATCATACTTTGTATTAGTGTGTAATAAACAACAAAGAGGTAAACATATTAACATTACTTTTGATTCATGTTGTGATCATATTTGACTTAATTAGTGATAAAATATTTTAAGAAAAGCTACTTTTAATGAAAAGCTATTAAAGATTTTTTATAGCAGTTTATTAGGTATTTAAATTCTAGTCAGCGAAAATAAATGTGATTGATTGATTTTTAAATGATGATAACACGGGTCAACACCAAATTTGACTGATTGCAAAAAAATAAAAAAAATAGAATTTCGATATTTTAGATCGTAATTAGACGAAAAAAAATACATGGCATGAAACAGTTTGCTTTTGAACTTTAATAAATTGACCACATATGAAACATCATATTTACACTTTCGTGACATTTTAAGTTTTTCTGGGCTTGTACAAAACACCTGATCGTTGTTTATGACTCGAGTGCCATCTAGTGGCACTGTGTAAACGTAAACACCCCACTCTCATAGCGCGGCTTTTTTGAAAGTATTAAAATGAATTAATTTTTTTAAAAAAATTGAAAAATTAGTATTATTACTATAACTATCACAAAAGCAAACTTTATACCAAAAAAAGATAATTTTCGTTTTTGTGAATAATTAACCGGAAAAACCTAGTAGAACAAATAACGAATCTTTTTTTTGTAGAATTGCGTAATCTTAGTACATTAAATTTTAAATGTTATATATTTAATGATAATTCTAAAACTTTAATAAATGTTCATTTCTTTTGACGTTTCACGCCCAAAGTTAATCTGTCTCCGGCCATGGCGTCTAACGACCTAGACCCCGCGCACCCTTCCAATATAACAAGGTTAAGGGTCGAAACGTTGCAGGTGCTCGGGGCGTAGCACTCCGTAAAGGTCATGTTGTTGACTATTAAATTTATTTAAAGGGTTTCCTTTAACGTAAATTGTCGTGAATAACACTCTTTAACTCTATTTTGTACTATATGAATGGAAGGAGCTCACTGCCTGTCTCAGATATTAAATGGTTACCGCAAAGTCCTTCACCACGTTAAAACCGCAATCCTTCTTGAGACTTGAGGTCTGTTGTAGTAATTGTATAGTAATTAAGCAATTTCCAATTTTCATTCCAATTTCGATCGTGGAAGTCATCATCATTCATGAACATGTATCAAGTACTTAATGTTTCAATATTAGTATCTGCCTACGGGATTTGAACGGTAGCACAGGCTTATCGCTCGATACGACTATTCCGGACGTCTTGCCCTTTAGGCTACAACTTACGAACGTGTTTTGATTTTTTCTTAAGCTGGTAGCCTTAAGAGGCTATGCCAACTTAACCTAACGGGTAGGTGAGCTCACGGCACTCAAACCTGAAAACGTTGCTAACACTAACCCTAGCAAGAGCAGCGCTTCGCAGAATCAACCACCAGATCGGACCCACTGAGAAGATTCGGCGAGAAACTCAGTGGGCTGTGTCTGTGGGTTAATTTACTTGCCGAGCCCTTCTTCGCAAGCGGCGGGCTCGACGAGGATGTCAGTTCAGATCCGGCCAACGTGGCCGGATCATACATGTTAATATATGGAATTAAATCGGTTTTTTCATATTCTGTAACATAAAGTACATACAGGTACTAATAATAATGAAATTAAAAAAATACGAAGGAACTGGATTAAAACGTCGAAATAAAAACCTCATGAAAGTATTTCTTACACTTAATACTTGTAAAAATTAGAAAACTAACTAACTTGTGAAACACGTTAAATTGTATACAGGCTAATTAAAATTTATCAAAACTTTCAGTCAGATAAACCATCGCCTTTGTGTATTTAAAGAAAGCAGGACACAAAATCCCACAGATTATACAGATTAAATGACGTTTCATTAAATTTGGCGCCGAATCGCAAAATGGCTACGGCTGTCGCGTCGCAACCGTAAAAGGACAATGGTTATAAACTCGTCGTTCGTCGGTTATGAGTTCTCAAGGCGATCGCCATTCAAGCAGAGTACTGCTTACGTATCCGTATGACACAAACTATAAACTTGTTCATTACGCAGAGAATATGAAGTACCATTACTATCTTGATAACGTATCGAGTGAACCTCATATTTTTTTGGATAAGTAGGTGAACACACCGACGGCTTACCTGGCTTATTGAAGCTATAAACATAACTTTTACTATACTGCATATTTGGTGCAGTCCTGTGGGATAGTATGCTCTCGGACATGTGTTGACCGTCATAGCGTTCAACATGTTAATAAATTCGTACGTTTCATACAAATATAAGAACTACGATTTTCACAGAAACACACTCACGTCCTTAAGGATCCATCAGATCCAATAACTTTTGCAATAGACGCCTTCAGCTCTGACATTAGGAGCAGGTTTATGGACCCCGGTAACCGTACTCGTCGAATTCGACAAAGAGTTCGACGTGCAACATAACCCATGTTGCTCGTCGAACTCGGCTCGCCGAGTTTCTCGCCGGATCTTCTCAGCGGGTCGCGATTCCGATCCGGTAGTAGATTTATTCGCGAAGCAGCTGATCTTGAGTTGTT